ACTCCAGTCGCTCGCTACCCCTTTATTTTCCCACACTTGTTCCTCCCCTAAATTTCTCACTGTAATTTCATAATCTCTTGCGCGATCCCAAACTGTTTTTCCCCTGCATCCCTCCCCTTTTCCATCCTGGTTCTTTTCCTCCCCTCTGGACAGGTCCCTGCCCACCCAGCCCCACACCCCAGCCCACTCCAGCAAGGGACCTGCGCAGAGTCACGGTTATGATTTATGGTGCAGACAGTGTCAGCCCCAGACCAGTCCCTGTGCTGGGGACAAGACCATTCTGAACTGATTGCTGGGGGTGTGTGGGGCAGGAATGTCAGGTGAGAAGAGACCTCTCACCTCCCACCAGATGAGCTTTTATCACATAACCTAACAGTTTCCAGAGAAAAAAAAAATCAAAATTATTTTGAAATCCTCAGGCAAATGTATACGCAGCTGTTAGCTAATTCAGCAGACAGTACAGAACTGGGGGAGGGTGGGGTAAGAAATGGAGGAGGGACAAGAAAACAAAGGTCCCAGCATGTTCTGCAAAACGCTATTTGAAACAGTCTGGGGAAACCAGAACAAGAATAGTAGTTGGTTGCATGGGAGAGAATAACTATAAGGTGAGCCAAAGCTGAGACCTGAAAGAGGGTCTCAAGAAGTAGAACGGGGCTGACAATGACAGGAACTGAACTGGCCACATGCCGGAAAAGAGAGGAATTCAGTTTGGCAGCATCTTTCCCAGGGTGTTTCCGCATACTTTAGCCGTCTCCAGAGGGACAGAACTGCTGATGTGGTCAGAGCTAACAGGCAAGCCGGGCTGCGCAGGCTATTTAGAGCAGGAATAGCCTCTTCGTCACGTACAGCAGAGCAGTTCCACAGGATTGGGCATAGCAACATACTGTGCGTTTGGACGGCAGATACATCAGGCAAGGCAAAATTTTTTTTCAAAACCCATCTGCCTCCAGTTAAGCTGCAGAAGCCATGTTTTGCTATGCATTCATTTCACTCAATTCCCCCACTTTCATTCACATTCGTTCAATTTTTTCAACTTCATTCATACTGTCAAACCCCACACTCACAAGCACTGAGGTGCATGTGCCCAGCGGGTCTGGCTGGGACCCATGCCTGCGTGCAATGTAAGGGAAGATGGGCACCAACTATCACACCCTTATGGCATCTCTTGGGTTATTCTTCACTGGCAGTGGCAAACTGCCTTGGATGGGTTGTCACGACCCGGGCTGGACAGGCCAGGGAGTGGTGTTGAGTTCGGAATTCCCTCAGGCTCAATTAAGGTGAAACAACACCGAATGATCAGTTTAAACATTTTATTTATGGCAGAAGCAGCCTGAACTTGGGAGGCATTAACAGAAAGTGGCAGGGTTTCTCACAACAGTAATTGCCCTGAAACTACCTCAGTAAATTGTGTAACCAATGGTAACCATATAGATCAACTCAGGGAAGGAGGAGAGCCCTCCCGTTGGGTCACCAGCTTCAGAGCGGACCCCTTGCTTTCTAGACTCCTTCTCAGAGAAGAGCCCAGGGGCAACTGGAGCCGCTCCTAGTGCCAGATGTGGTCAACGGTTTTGTGTCTTAAAGGGATGAGGTGTAGGGATTATGAAAAAGGGAAGAGGAAGAGAGAGCAAGACAGAGAGAGAAAAAGGAAGAGAAAAGAGAAGGATTTCACTGGTCCTGGGTCCAGCATTGGTCCAGTCAGCCAAGGGGTCCAGTCAGCCAAGGTGTCCAGTTCCAGAGGCCGAAGGCACGTGGGGCTTCAGTTTGTGTCCTTTTGTTGCCTCAAGCCTTCAAAAGACTGATTAACAAATAAGAAGGCAATGATGGTTTAAAGAAAAAAAAAAAAACTAAAACATAAGAAGTGTGGCATGTTTGCTAATCAAGGACTGTTTAGATTATGTTTACTGAAGGTAAAGCTTATCTAGTTTAAGATTCTACTTACAATAGAGGATGCTTAAAGAGTCACAGACTTGCTAATTAAGGACATACATCCTCCTCTGAGGGGTTGGCAAGGGAAAGAAAGACCCTGGTGTCCTGAGATGACCCATGACCATAAAAGGACAAAAGGAGTAGGGGTATTCTTCCCCAACCACCCACCGAAGACCACTGACGACCACCAGAGATCCCGCCCAGACATAGAAGACTCTGGGATGATTGCTCAAGAGAACAACACGTCATTCCTGCTCAACATAATGAATATGCAATAGTTAGGCGGAACATATGTATTTGATAGGCTTGGTGTTTTAACTGTGGTGTATAAGTATGGACTGAAAATCTCAGTAGGTGTGCTCGCTTTGTGGAAATCTTCCACTTTGCACCCTGCACTGAATAAAGCAATGTCTCCTCTCTAAACACTTTGTGTGTTTCGGGAATTACTTTCTGATCAGGTAACACTTTTATCATCTCCTTGCCCCTCCTTCAGGTGGGCACTTGAACTCACTAGGCTAATTAGGTGTCCTGCACCATTTGTGCTTTCAGAACCTTCGGGAAATGGGTCGGTGGTTATGCTGTGAAAAGCTGAAATCAGGACTGGATGCTTGTGGGTCATTTGGAGAGTAACTTCTTGCCTGCAGACATGACCATTGTTTGATCTTTGGCCATGCACGGTGAGCTGGCCTGCTCAGCATATCAGAACACGGAACTGTGCACCCTTGGGCACACCTATCCTGTTGCTGATGTCCTGTGCTGAGCTGATCAGCTTCTTTTCACCTGTGGTTCCTTGCTATGTAGAGTTGGTCATTATGCAGACCTTGCCCCACCACAATGTTTGAGACATTAACTCCTTCAGTCTTTCCCACGGGTCTTTTATGCCCAATAGTGGGTATGAAAGCTAGTGAGACCCAGCAGTTACTATGGTGGCATCCTTGTGCTTTGGTCTGGCTACTTCTGCCTTCACTCACTTCAGGCAACTTATTTGCTCATTTTCTGTGTTTCTTCATTTTGAGTTTCTGAGGCTATGGTCTCCTTCCATTTGAACTAAAAGGAAAAGAAACGGCATCTGTGATGTGCTGTACCTTCCTGCTATGTCCAGCTGTCAGACAGTAGGGTCTTCTGCAGACAAGTTGTCTATGCTACAGAGTGCAGGTCTTCCTGGTTTGAGAGAAACAATGTTATTTCTCAATTTTACTGCCTTAAACTGTGTCTTTGGTTATCAAGACAGGCCATTTTTTTAACCTTTGTTCTGCTGTTTCTTCTGGTGCTTACACACACCCATTTCCATTTATACTTCGCTTATACCAATCGTTATTTCAGTTTCAATTCTCTGAAAGCTGATTCGGCTTGCTAAGGAGTCAGGTGGATACCAGAACCAGGGTAAACAAGGACATATTACAGCTGGAAGTAGAGGACAGCAGAGAGAAAGATGTACAGGGATTACATTTTTAGCAGCAGCAGGAAGTTACATCAACCCAGCCACTTTTTCAGTGGTTTCTAACTTTAAGCAAATGGCTTAATATTTAAGGCTGGAATCACTCACCGCCCTGTGAAAATAATATCGATTTGGAACTGTTCGATACAGTGCTACCTTCTGCCTCACCCAGTTGTGCTGTTTCACATAAACCCCTCCCGTTTGTAGTTGATAAGGAAGTCAAGTATTTGGGGCATTCATATTTGCAAAACATTATACCAACAAACAGAATAAATCCAGTAACACTTCTTTCTTTGCTCTCACTCAGGACTGATCCAAAACCCTTCTGAAGTGTATTTAAGTGTAGAATAGAACACGCTTGCCAAGACTGTATTTGCAGCTTCTTTCCATTTTCAGTCCTTCGCTTCACTTTCCTGCTCCCTGCTGTTAACACTGTTCCAACAAAATATCCAGTAAAGCTCCTCTGCCCGTATAGCTCCGATTTCTGAGTGGGTTAATGCATAAATGCATGTTTTCACTGGAACTGGCTGAAAAACAGGAGACAAATAAATGTAAGAAAATGACTGAAAGGTTTGCCTGATTCATGATTATTATCTACCATTTGGAGTTGGCAATACATTGTTGAGTCACTGTTTGAATCATTTTCTACCTTAGCAGTCAGTCTTGAAACTACAAGGTATGAATCTGAGTTTTACCATCCTCGGCAACCTGTTGACCACCTGAGAATGCATGTGCGCGTGCCTAGAATATAAACCAGCCCAGAACTATCAATTTACTTTTCTAAAGCTGGAAGTGATGCAGGACACTCCTCCTTCTACCTCTCCTTTTCTATTGCATTTTTAAAATTACTTCATTTGTTATGTATCATAGCAAGAGGGCAAATATGGGGCAATATACCCAAGGAAAAGATCCTTCCATAACCTTCCCTTCCACAAAGAAAGAGCAAAACCACAGACTGCACCACCTCGGTCCCAGTCCTTGAGGCGGTTCTCTCTGTATGACCTGAGCAGCAATCGCGACTGTGACCGCGCAGTTTCAGGTGCCTTTCAAACCAGGCATTAGTGCCAGGCGACGCAGGCTGGCATTCACTTTATTTTCGAGATTAACTTCCTGATCCAGAGGGAGCAGCTGATACCTAAGTGCCCCTTAAGCTTGCATCGCCATAGAGTTTGAGCGCGAAAGCTCATCTCAAATGGATTTAGCGCTCAGCCCCCTCTCCCTGTCTTCCCGCTCCAGTATTTGCCGTGCTTCTCCCCAGTCCCGCAGACCCTCCCAAGCCCCGCTTCACCACCAGTGGGAACGGGGGCCATTGCTGTGCTTCGCACCCCCTGACAGGGCGCCCGCTGCCTCAGCCGGCGTCGACCGGCGGCCGGCTGCCAACCTGGAAGAAAGACGAGCCGCGGCATTTCGACGCGAGTGGTAGAATCACTCGGGTGCGCCGAGTTTTTCTCCTCCCTAACGCTCCGTACCCCTACTTTTGTGCTCCCCACAGGCAGAAGTCAGCGGCGAGGTGAGGAAACCCTTCGGCAGGCGCCGGCGCCGCCGTTTTCCCGCCTCACCCCTCACAGCGCTCCCTCAGCCGCAGGCCCCGCCCACCGCCTTCGGTTTCGATTCCTCCCGAGCCCGCCCGGGCGGCGGCCGCCCAGTCCCGCCCCGCTTCCTGGGCTCGTCCCGTCGCTTCGCGTCTGGCTGAGGCGAAGGGAGGACGATGAGCGACCCGGCGGTGTGCTGCTTCCTCACCAAGACCCTCTGCGCCCATGGCGGGCGGCTGGGGCTGCCGGAGCTGCGGGGGTGCGTCGGTCTCTCGGCGCAGCAGCTGGAGGAGACGCTGTCGGCGGCGGGGCCTCAGCGGTTCCTGGTGCTGCGGGACGGCGGGGGCGCGGAGGTCCTGGCCGTGTCGGCCGTGAGGACCTGCGTCCGCAAGGAGTGCGGGGGCTGCGAGCGGCTGCACCTCTGCAAGCTCCACCTCATGGGAAGGTGCAACCTGGGGCCCAGGTGAGAGCGCCGGGGGGGGCCGGGGCACCCCCACACCCGAACCCCGCCGGGCCTCTCCCCGCAACCGGGCGCCGTCGGTTCTCCCGCTCACCGGGAAGCCCCTTCTGCCCCGGCTCCCCTCAGGAGGAGAGAGGCCCGGTGTCCGTCCCCGCCCCCGCCGCGTACAGCCCCGTACCGGCGAAGGACTCGTTCGCTGTTCTCGGTGTGTTTGGTGGGAGCCCCGAGCGAGCGCGGTCGGTTTCGGTTTTCGGAAGCCCGGTTTTCTTTGTGCCCTGGGTTCGGCTGGGATAAAGTTTGTTTTCGCGAGAGGGGACGCAAGCAGGATGGGGATATGCGATACCGTGTGACGTCATGCTCGGTATAAACTGCGGGGGGGGGAAGTGTGGGGGATCGCAGCTCGGGAGCGGGCTGAGCATCGGGTTCCGAGTGGTGACCAATGGTGCTGTGCATCACTCACTTCGTATATTCTTTTATGGGTAGTATCGGTATCGTTTCTTCCCTCTGCGTTGCCTTATCGTACAGTCCTTATCTCAACCCGCAGGTTTTTCCCTTTTCTTCCTTTCCTCCTCCCTGTCCCACGGCAGCGGGGGGGGGGAAGGAGCGAGTGAGCAGCCACATGGTGCTTAGTTGCTGGCTGGGCCTAAACCATGATGCTTTGTCAGTATGATGATTTTTTTTTTTTTTTTGGTGTTAAAGCTGCTTGCCTACCAATATTTCTCTACTAAGAAAAAAGCAAAGTGCTAGTCTTGTCCCAAAATGGGGTTCCTCACCCGGTGCGCAAAGAGCCTATTACACACAGAACAGAGATAATTATGTCATATCTGCGCAGAGACGGGTGCCAGGTGGTGACTCCACAGATCTAGCACACCTTGCTGAACACTCAGCAGACCTTTAAACGTTTGAGAAACAGTTACCAGTACTTTTACAGTTTCACTTTGTCACCCTTGTTCCTGGTTGTGAAGAGCTTGATCTCCACTTAAAAGCCACGGCATCCTCCTTTTTTACTGCTCATGTTCTGTGAGTGTCCTGGTTTCAGCTGCGATAGAGTTAATTGTCTTCCTAGTAGCTGGTACAGTGCTATGTTTCTGAGTTTGGTATGAAAAGAATGTTGATAACACTGAAGTTTTCAGTTGTTGCTAAGTAATGTTTTGTCCAAAGTCAAGGATTTTTCAGCTTCTGATGCCCAGCCAGCAAGAAGGCTGGAGGGGCACAAGAAGTTGGGAGGGGACACAGCCAGGGCAGCTGACCCCAACTGGCCAAAGGGGTATTCCAGACCATGTGATGTCATGCCCAGTATATAAACTGGGGGGAGTGGGGGTGGGGCGAGTGCCGCTCAGGGACTAGCTGGGTGTCAGTTGGCGGGTGGTGAGCAATTGCATTGTGCATCACTTGTATATTCCAATCCTTTTATTATTACTATTGTCATTTTATTAGTGTTCCCATTATCATTATTAGTTTCCTTTTTTTCTGTTCTATTAAACCGTTCCTATCTCAACCCACGAGTTTTACTTTTTTTTTTTTTTTTCCCCAGATTCCCTCCCCCATCCCGCTGGGTGGGGGGGAAGTGAGCGAGCTGCTCTGTGGTGCTTAGTTGCTGGCTGGAGTTAAACCACAACAGTGAGGAAGGGGCTTCTGTTGGTAGGGGGCTTTCCCTACCCAAGGATGGGGTTTTTACTGTTAGTTAGGATAGTTCACTCAAAGTTCAAGTAGCTGAACTTGATTTTATCAGTAGTAGAGTACCCCTTGTGCTTATCTGGATGCTCCTGTATCTCAGGGCTCCTTTACTCCTTACAGGGGTGAAGTAGCATTCTTTTTTTATTTCTTGCATATCTCCAACACTATCATGCTATCTGGTTTTGTTCTAGAAAGTTATGAGCGTTTAATTTTGCTGCAAGTCACTGCTCCACGTACAGCTGTTTCTCTGAGAAGCAGTGTTTAATTTCCCATGTACATCAGTCCTGTTCTCTGGACATACAGAGAACTTGTAGGAAGGGTAGGCCCGGCAGCTTCTGTAGGCACAGACTGGCGAAAGGTGGTACCTAGTTTAAAAAAATAACGATAAAGGAGGCAAAAAAACAAACGCAGAAGTGAAAACCAGAAGCTTTTCAGTGACAATCAACGGCAGCAGTGAGCTCTGTTGTAAGAATTCACAGTTTAAGCCCCGAGGCCCCAGGTCTTGCACTGTTGCAGTGTTAGTAAAATGCTTATACCCCACCAGATTCTTCCTCTTCTGTCCCAGCAAAATAGCTCGCTCTGCGCTTGGGTCTGAAAAACATGGAGGGGAAAGGCTGCATCTATCTCAGAATGGTCCTAGTAAAGTATTAGGATGCTAAGATTTTCTCACTGTTTCTCTCTTTACTGACGGTATGATAAGCTTCCATGTTATTCACTGTTAGAAATACCTTAAAATGCACGTAGGCACTTGTGCTGGATGACTCCATGTGAACTAAAAAGTGCAATGAGGTGATTCCCTTTGTAATGATAAACAATTCTATCCTCTCAATAGCACTAAGTATTTAAAATCACCTTTATATAGGCTAATAATTAATAATTATTTAATAATTTTATAATTATATAATTGCTGTATATTATATTATTGTTGTATTATAATATATTATATCATTATTATATAATTATTATGTACTCAATGAGTATGCCTTTTGTGGGAGGGAGGTTGATTAAAATGAAGGGGCAGAAATACTGCTAGGTGGACCACATGGATCAAGACAATATTTTTTAACCAATAAGATAAAATCTAGCCTTGCTTCCAGATCTTGCACCCTTTTTGTTTTAGAATCTGTGGAAAGATAAAGTGTCTGTGCAAGTTATTGGGGTCTTCCTATTTAGTGGAATCAGGATTTTAGTCCAGTTAAACCTGTTTTTAACTTGTGTCTGGCAAGTAACTTTTCACTGCTTTTTTTCTAAATGTGTTATTAAACTCAGCTGATTAGTTATCATTGTATTTGTGGACTGTTTCAACCTTTGACTTAGAAATACATGCTCAAGTGATGTAGATCACTGTGTGCCTGTTGGTGGAATCTGAAGTTAACTCTGGAGGAATGCTGGTGGTGGCTCCCACCTCAAATACTCTGTCGCTCACCTACCTTCACAGCCATTAATCAAGTGCCTACAGAATCTAATATCCTTAGGATACTGTTTCTTAGGAGCAAAGATGGCACACTTCTGCCCTTTAGACTTTGCATTCTTGTTTATTTGCTTACAAAGCACTGTGTCCAACAGGTAGCATGGGGTCGGGGTGAAATGACTACACAAGGGCCTGTAGAGAAGGATTGGATCAGACACAGCATGAGGTAAAAAAGCTTTCACAAGGGGAGTTTCAGGAGTTAACTAGAGGTGAAAGGGATAAGGGGAGCAGAGACCTGAGTCTGACAGATTAACAGGTACTTTTTTTGGTTGAGTACATCTAGTCTTAAGGCTGTATCAAATCATGCTTTTGAAGAGCAAGATGTAAGGAAGCTGTATTTTACTGCGTTGATTAATGCACAGGTTGACTGTGTTTCTCCTCATATTATTTATTTGCAGTATCTTTTCAAATAGATGCAAAAAAAATTGCAATCTCTCTAGTTCATACTCGCTTCGGACATTTTTCTTGGATTAGTGGCACCAGCGGCTTCGCTATTGTCGTTTAATTGTTTCTTTATCCAAAACTCAGAAGTTAATGAACTTGGGTTTTTAGGTCTGGTTTGTTTTGTTTTGTTTAAACTTCCCTGCCAGTAAAGATAACAAATTGTGTTGTTTTCAACTTCATTATCTCTTTGTTTTGTGCTCTCAGATTCTTGCATCTTTCTTTACATTCCATCTCCAGGACAAAAACCTTTTACATTCACAAAATCAAGGGTGTTGCAACTTTCACCATTATTGATGTATTCCTCTAAAATTAGCTTTCCCTCTAGCTGTTCTGGTCGTGTGACTTGGCTTGCCTCTTACTGGAGGGGAAGGAAGTGTGAGGTAGTCAGACTTGGCTTCAAATCTGTGCTGCTAGCTTTCTTAAAAGTGGTCTGGCCACATCAATGTTTAAAATGGGGATAATAATGCTGCTGTATTTCACAGAGTTATTATGCTGTTTGGTCCATTTTCTAGCTAATTACAGAGACCATCTAAATGTTCACCGCGACTTTTGCCAAGCTATCTTTCTCCCCATGGCTTTTCTCAAGTTGCATGTTATCTGAGGTACTTCTTTAAATCAACTTGACAGAAGAAGTAAACATTGATATTTCTGTGTATTTTCTTGCAGATCTTGTAAGTACTTGCACGACATCATCAATGCCGAGAACAAAAAAGTTCTAAAGACCCATGAGCTGTCTGGCCTTAATGAGGATGAGCTGCGAGTCCTGCTTCTCCAGAATGACCCTTTCCTCCTCCCTGATGTGAGTTGTACTGATTTCTTAAGAGAAGCTTTTGTTAATTAGGAATGGGAGAGGGCAAGTGAGAATATGGAGTTCTGATCTCAACTTCAAGCTGTTAAGTTATGTAACAGTAGTCTGAAGTTTAGTCTGAATGAAGTATGAATGGGAATGGCTGTGTGTGAAAGCACCAGAAGAAACAATATAGAGCCAGAGTTGTGAAAGTGCTGTGTACTTATAACCAAAAAAATAACAGCAATAAAACTGTTAAACACTGAGGGTTGAGTTGCTTACATAAATACCAGAAGGCTTGCACCTGGATAAGGCCATGTCATCTCTGACTTGTCAGCAGAAGACCTGCTGTCTGACAGCAGGCAGTGGACAGCAAGGCTACAGCCTGTTTTGCGTGCCACTCCTGTTATCCCAACAGGATAGCCATAAAGTTAGTCAAAACAAGCAAATAAAAAAAAGTCAGCAACTTCACCAGAGATTTACAGACGTTGAGGTAAGCAAGGCGGAGGTGAAAGATCACAATAGTTGTACGTGCTTACAGGATAAAAGGCCTGACCAAAAACCAGTTTGTTGGCTCTTCTCCAAGAGATGATGGAGACTTGGAAGCAGGGCCCCTTTCCTTTTCCAGCCTATGTAGGTGTCGTGGTTTAACCCCAGCCAGCAAGTAAGCACCACGCAGCTGCTTGCTCACTCCTCCCTCCCCCTGGTTGCGTGGGGAAGAGAATCAGAAAAAAAAAAGTAAAACTCTAGATTGAGATAAGAACAGTTTAATAACTGAAATAAAATAAAATATAATAATAATAGTAATGAAAAGGAAGATAACAATAGGAGGGAGAAATAGAACCCAGGAAAGACAAGTGATGCACAATGCAATTGCTCGCCACCCGCTGACCGATGCCCAGCTAGCCCTCGAGCAGCGATGGGATCCCCCCAGCCAACTCCCTCCAGTTTATATGCTGAGCATGATGTTCTGTGGTATGGAATATCCCTTTGGCTAGTTCGAGTCAGCTGTCTAGGCTATGCTCCCTCCCAGCTTCTTGTCCGCCTCCTCCCTGGTTTGTGTCCTTGGCTTAGGATAAGCACTACTTAGCAACAACTAAAACATCAGTGTGTTATCAACATTATTCTGGTGCTAATGCCAAAACACAGTACTGTACCAGCTACTAGGAAGAAAATTAACTCTATCCCTGCTGAAATCAGGACAGTAGGCCTGCACATTTTGGTTCTTGAGGGTAAGAAAAATCTGTAAGAAAATGACCAAGTGACTGCAGTTAGTTTTGTGTAAAATTTGCTCCTTCCAAAGTGTACTGAGTTTTTGCACACTAATTTTCTACGAGGCAGCCTTTGTCCTGTTTGTATGCAAGTCATTGATTTTGTTAAATTAGGCTGAACAATCCATTCTGGTTCTGCATGTGTGTATAAGGGCAATGCTATCTTCAAGATACGGCTGTTTCAAAGCCAAGAATATCCTGTTCTGGCTACAGCTGGTTAAGGAATTATCAGAGTACTGCCTGTTACCCTTGCCTTTTGGAGTTTATAATCACCACAGATCTGTTAGCATAACAACTCTATTGTTTTCTTATTCCCTGCTGTGATAGTGCTGGGCTTTGACAAAATAGATTTTTTTTTTTTTAAGTGTTTTAAAATATGTTGTGCTACCAGATTCAAGTAGTATGGTGGTGATGAGCGACGAGGGTTAATAATATCTTTGTCCTGCTCAGCTGTATCTAAAACTTAAGTGTTTCTTGTTTAATTACTCCCAATAATGAGCAGATAGCAACCGCCATTGACTGGTATTACTCTTAAGCTCTTATCTATAGATCTGTTCAGCCCTCACTGCTGGCAGGCATCATTAATTAGCTCTAATCAAGCACCTTAACTCCTATTATGGAGTAACATAGCAGAAACAACAGAAAACAGTGATTTATGCGGACCATTTATAAACCTGATTGCTGGGGAGAGGGGTGTGAAAGCTGACTTTGCAGTTTCTTGCTTAGAAATTCCGACTGGCTGTGTGCTGACAAATAGCATGTATGAAGTTGTCAAGCAAGAGGAAACTTAGGTCTTTTGTGACCTGAACTGGGGTGCAGGGTAAGAAAAACACAACGGCACTCCCAAATCAGGAGTTTTTACACTTTCCCTCACCTTCTTTCTGGCTCTCCTTTTTTTTGTTTCTTGGCAAATGCAAGGGGCAGTGTGCTTTCCTGATGTAGCTAAACAGTGGATTCCCTATTTAGCTGAGGCAGCACTTTGTTCTGGTTTGGTAGTTTATTCTGATGCTCCTGTGTAAAAATTTCATCATGCATACTAATAATATCTTTTAATGCATCTTCCTCTAGATGCCCTACAAAATTGCTCTCAACCAGATTCAGTGTCTAAATCTTTGGGAGCTTCACTTTGTAAATTAAGTGGTTGGTATCTCCACTACCCTAAAGTGACATTTTGTGTAATGGGTGTCCCAGACAAAATGTTTGTATTTTTAGTACCCTCTCAGCTTTTACCTGGTTCTGTATTTTAGTTGCTTTTTTTTTTTTTTTTTGTACTCTCTTGAGCAGGAAAATGGAAGCACAAAAGCAATTCCTGTGCTCTGGCCCCCCAAACCAGTGTCTGACATAAGTCTTATGCTTTTTTTGGTATTTTTTAAACCAGCTTCAGGCTGTGTGACAAACTATGCTCTCTGCTTCTGGTTTTGATTAGCGATGTTCCTGGAGGAGAAAGTTTCTAGAAAGGAGAGGATATTGAAGTTAAGGGGGAAAGTCTGGGTTGGGGAAAGACCTATTAAGGAAGCAGTGATTTTAAGTTTTTCTAGAAATACCCAGAGAACTATATTATTCCTTCAAACCAAGGGACTACTCTACAAGTTTGTATCACAGCCCTTAGTGTGTGCTTGATTGTCTGTCTCTGGCGGATGTTGGACTAACTGTTTGTTTCCAGCTCAGTAACTTGAACAGTTATCTCCGCTTGGAGGGGTGGAAAAACAAATTGCATGTTTAAAGCCTTAACTCACTTTTCTTGTTAGGTAGGCACTTAAATGAGCCATGTACATTTTAGATGAAGGTAGCACTTTGAGTGGTATCAGGCGCCCAAGACAGAGCAACATTCTTCAACTGAGGAAGACCCTCCATTGGCAGTGGTGTAAGATTTGAGTTCTTTAGTGACTGAAGTTGCAAAACATCTCCCACAAGACTGTTTTTTATTACCTAGCACTTGCATATGGTCTTGATACATAGGTCTTAGAGGGCTCTGTAGATGATAAGCCTTTCTGCATTCTCCTTGGGCAAAATTGGGACAATGAAGGAGAGAAAAATGAAGTGACTTACCCAAAATTCTGGAGTAGGTGAATAATTGCTTTGCGTTGGCAGGTGCAGGTACTTTTGAATCTCACTAAGAAAGGCACATGATGCTTAAGATAAATAGCTTGTTATTACTAAAGGTTATAATGAGAATAAATCTTAGGTGTCCCTTCTGATGTCATGGGAACTCATGACAATACAGCATCAGACAGACCTCTCCGGTAGGACCATGGCTTGCTCTGCAGAATTCCCATCCATGTTGAGGTTCAGCACCCTTGCTGGTCTTCATATCTTTATAATATTTTGGGGGGGGGGGAGGAACACCCCCCCCCCCCCCCCAAAACTCCCCCAAAGAACCCCAAAGCTATTGGTCTTCTATCCGTATAAAACTGAATGTTCTAGACGGTACACCGAGGTTCACTGAGAGCATTATGCTCTTATGCATCTTTATAGGAACAAGCTCTTACAAACAGTACGTGCAGGTTGTATTGTTAAAGGCAGTTCATGCTAATGGCATGGTATGTGCTCTCATTATGTGGCTGTCACTAATGATAATGTATGAGCCCCTGCGACCAAGGCCTACAGGTAAACTGGAAGTCGCTGTCTTCTCATTATGTTTTCCACAGCGGCCTGCTACATGAGCTAAAAATAGGTCCAAAATTAATTTTCCAAAATTTATTTTCCTAATACAAGAGAGTGATGAAGCTACTGGAAGAGGAGTTCAGCAAAGTGCCACTCAGATGATGAAGGGACTGGAGCATCTGTCACATGAGGACAGGCTGAGAGAGTTGGCTCTGTTTAGCTTGGAGAAGTGAAGGCTCGGGCATCTCATCAGTGTTGACAAACATCTGAAGGGGAATGTGTAAAGAGGACAGAGCCAGGCTCTTCTCAGTGATGCCCTGGACTAGAGGTGATGGGCACAAACTGAAACACAGGACGTTCCCTCTGAACATCAGGAAATGCTTTTTTACTGTGAGGATGACTGAGCAGTGGCACAGGTTGCCCAGAGAGGTTGTGGAGTCTCCGTCCCTTGGGAATATTCCGAAGCCGCCTGGACACGGTCCTGGGCAACCAGCTGTAGGTGGGCCTGCAGGGGAATCTCTGCTCGGGCACCTGGAGCACCTCTTCCCCTTCCTTCTTGTCACCTTGGTGTCTGCAGGGCTTTTTCTCACACTTTCCCCAGCCCTCCCCTCACTACTGTGTAGTGTTTTTCCCTTTCCTAAATGTGTTTTCCCAGAGGTGCCACCAGCTTGGCTGATGGGCTCAGCCGTGTCCTGCAGTGGGTCTGTTGGAGCCAGCCGTGTCCGGCAAGAGGCAGCACCTGGCTTCTTATCACAGAGGCCACCCCTGTCTGCCAGCACCTTCCATGGGTACCCAACAGATTGTAACACCACTGATAGCGTTTTGTGATGCAGTTAAGCTTAAATATATAAATAATAGTCATAATTGCAAGGGGAAAATAGAAAGTTGTGATACAGTTGCACAAACAGGGTGCAGGAAAACATGTAGAAGTAAAACCTGCAAGATACCTGACAGAACTAAAATCCTGCAGAGCACACAGGAAGGCTATGTGATGGAAGCAGAATAATCCAGTAGAATAAGCAAAACTAGAACAAGTCCAGATCCCAAAAATAAGATGTCAAAAGCAAATGAGAGCATGCTTTGGGGTCTTAAGGGCAGAAAAGCAAGAAGCATCCACAATGAGAGAGGGAAGATGGGGAAGAAAGAAGACAACGCCCTTTGGTTTCTGCTTCCCTCAGAGGCTAAGAACCGTCAAGGATAGTAGCCATCAGTGCTCACTGAAATTACATCAGTTCCATGTCTTTGTATGCTCCCACCTAATTTAGAGTAAGTTTGTGAAGGCTGATTGTTCTGTACCCGATACTGACAGATAGCGACGACGAACTCACCTTTGGCAATGGGTATCGTTAGTGAATATGAATCCAGTAAAGAGTTGTTTTGCAGTTGAAACTGGCCTGATGTTTCAGTCTTTTTAACGCTGACATCCCAGCAATCTTTAATTCCCTAGTCGACACATAAATGTCTATATATTCAATAGCAACACAGCATAAAACCTGTTTCTGTTGCTTGGAACAGGATTTGGGAGAGGATCTGTGACAGTTCTGGTGCGATGTTGAGGCTGTCTGCCAGGCAGCTGTGTGTCCTCCTCAAAGCAGGTTCCTTGTTACGGGCTGCCGCTCTGTGCTGCAGGAGCAGAAGTGTTGCTGTGGTGCTTGGTGGGCAATATGAAGGAGTTTTTGGTGTGTGATTTGTTCCCTGGGTCCAATGCACTGCATATCTCTTTTTTTGGTGAGTAGAGGAATAAAGAAGTGTGTTGCTTTTTCCGTATGTACTCTAATTGCAAAGCGTTCTTCTTACCATTTTTAGATGCCCAAATCTTCAATGCGGAATAAGCTTTACAAATAGGAAGTGCAAATGCAGTTTCAGCTCCATGAAATAATACCTTATTTGACACAATATACATGTTTTTATGGAGACGCTTGTTCTTTGCTCTTTGTTATGGTTTTGGTTTGGGTTGTTGTTGGGTTTGTTTCTGTTTTTCTCTTTTTTTAATAGAATAACTGTAAAACATTCAGTTGTTATGCAACTGTCTTGCTTAGGAGTGCCAAAAATTAATGCTTGTTAGACTGGCTTTTCTTTTTCTTGGAAAAAAAACTCTGCACAACTTCAAAATTGAAAATGTGTGAGTCAGCTGAAAATGCTGGCTCTTTTGTGCAAGAAATTGGAATTAAAGAAGTCCAGATTAAAGAAGTCACAATGAACACATGCCTTTTAGTCACCGTTTTGCTGCTGTTAAAGCTGCATGCCTATAGAACAAAGAAAAAATTACTGATTTTAATGTGCTTTTCCATTTCGTGTTGTATCTATCCCTCCCCACTTCTAGGTCTGCCAGTTTTACAACAGAAAGGATAGCGCCTGCAGCCAGCAAAACAACTGCAACAGGCTTCATATTTGTCGACACTTTCTCCAAGGGGAATGTAGATTTGTTCCATGCAAGAGGTCCCATAACCTCTTGGATACTCATGCATTGAGAGTGTTGGAAGCTGGAGGTGTCGATAGGAGTATAGCTTCAAACATCCAAGCTATATGTGATCACAAGCATGTGGAATTCAACAAGGAACTCAAGAAGGGGAAGAGTAAGTTGTAAGAAACACTGTTTAAATAGGATTCTGAGTTTGATAAGAGGTAGAAGCTGTTCTTGGCTTACCTCACAGCTAAACCCCATCATCCTTTCTGTGCTTTCAGTACACAACTACAAACCAAGAGAAAATGCATTGAAAAAAACGGCAGTTAGAAATGTTAAAGATTCAATGATGCATTTGCAGACAGCGGACTCCACACTGCATATGCCACCTTCAGAAGGTAAATATCTAGATAAGTACCAACTGCTTCCATGTAGAATCAGCTTTCCTATTTCCTCTCTTACAACATGTACATATTTTTTTCCCTTCTGCCATTGATCTGCTTTCAGGAATGGAGTAACTCTTGGCTGACTCATGTGGGAGGGAGATCTGCATTACTGTTGTCTTATATGCTGCATGCAGAATTGCTATTGAGTGTCTGCCGGTAACTGTGACTAGCTGGGATTTGTAACTGTTACTGCTGATCTTTTGTATCAGCAGTGGAGTACCAGTGGAAAATTAGATGTGTGATGGACATAATCCTTAACACGCAAATTGGGATGTTGCCAGCTAGCTGAAGTTTTGGTCTAGCAGTGCTGTTCATTCAGTCTTCTCATGCAGGTCGCAGTAGCAATGTACCTGGTCAGAGCCAACACCAGTTGCCAGCAGGAGCTGGAAGTAAAGACAAAGGTATGGATTGTTTCTAACCCTCCAGTCTTGAGATCAGTGGTTGTCCCTGGGATTTGGATTCACACAGCCCTACAGCTCCCTGTGGTAGTTGGAGTGCAGCTTATGTGCTTACCCTACCATATGCTGAAAGCCATAGTACCAGACGGCCTGCAGAGGAACGTTGAGATTTCTGCCCAAGCATTGTGCAGCACAATGGGGAGTAGTCTGGGATTGATCTCTGTACTGTTCTGGACACATTGCTTCCTTCCTGGGAAGGAGACAGAGTTGTATCCATGCATGTAATACCTCTCCTTGCCTTCTGTCCCTGGGGAATGGATATAGCTTTGTCAGTAGAGCAGTTGTCTTGATATACCTTCCAGTGAGTGAATAGCAACTCGTAAATCTCCTGTCCTCCTGGGCAGAAGGGCCTTAGCTTTAAAGCCTGTCAGAGTCCAATAGTCTCTGAACAGGTTCTTTTAGATATTCCACACATGGAGGGTATAATGTTTAATATCAAATTTACTTCTTTGAAGATAGTTGATGTTACATGAGTATTGTGGGTTAACCATGGTGGGCAGCTAGGCACTTCACAGCCACTTGCTCACTTCCCCTGACCCCCAGTGGGACAGGGGAAGAGGAGAGAAAGAATAAAAGCAAGAAAACTTGAGGGCCAAGATGGGTTGGGGGTGGGGGCGGGGGCGTGAAGCAAAGGGTAAGTGGAAGAAGAAAGAAGAAAACAAAGCAAAACAAGTGATGCAAAGGCAGTCATTCCCCACCTCCCATGAACAGGCTGCCCAGCCAGTTCCTGAGCAAAAGGTAGCTAACCCTCCTAAACTTTTATTGCTGAGCATAATGTTATGTGGTATGGACTGTATCTTTGGTTAGTTTGGGTCCTCTGCCCAATTGTGTCCCCTCCCAACCTATTGTGCACCCCCAGTATATTCACTGGAGGGGCAGAGAGAGAAACAGAGAAGGCCTTGAAGCTGTGCAAACACTGTTCAGCCAAAGCTAGGGCATCGCTGTGTTATCAACATTGTTTTGGTCAAAAATGTAAAACACAGCATCATATGAGCAGCTGTGAAGAAAATTAACTCTATCCTAGCCAGGCCCAGTACAACGAGATTTCTGATGTAGCAGAGTGATGCAAAATACACTGGAAACAAAAATATTAAGTTAGTCTTACCAAAATATAGCAATTGCAATACACCGTTCAATCAGAATACTAATGTGATTCCCATTATAGGTCTGTGTAATATGCTCACCGCCATCATGCTGCATGTCCCCAGTCCCCAGGAAGGAATATGTGTGTTGAAGCCAGCTCAAACCCGTTGCTCTCTCTGAAATTCTTTTGTTAGCTGTTTAGTTCTTATACCCCTGTGTTGAGCTGAGCCCTGTATTTGCTGCCCCCATGCTGGTCTGGCTAACTGTGGAGAAATGTTTATACCACCGGTTGATCCACTCAGCTGACATAGCCAGTTATCTACAGCAAAGGCCACCCTCTGGTCCCCTTTGTGTTGAGACCAAGTCAGCTTCTTTGCAACAGCCATGGTCGGTCACACCCCACGTTACTCTCTGAGCTTCATGGGCGCATTGCCCTTGGCCATCTCCACTGAGCCTTCTTCCATTGTAGGGGTTTATTGGTCAGTCACAAAGCCCTAACTCATGCAGTGCGCTGTACAGGGGACAGTCAGATCCTTAAAGTGCTTGACTTGGCTACTGCAGTCAACTCCTTGTTACTTCTGGGATGAAATACCAAATGCCATGTCTTTCTTTTAAAGTTGTATTTTGGTAGGGCCAATAAGGACTCATGTGTTCCTTCCCGTAGATAAGAAAGACTATTCCTCTGCTAAAGCTTCAAATAACAAACAGGATAAGTGTGATGAGATATGTGTGTTCTACGTCTGGAAGTACTGCAGACATAAAGGTAAGCTTTAAAAAAAGTAATGTGATCTTCAGAGAGCAGTGCCTGCAGAGGCTCAGGCTAGTGGTGGCATATGGAGTGGCAGTGGCGATTGTGGCTTTTCGCTCATTTGCTTTGTTTCCAAGTTACTAATAAACACTGTCAGAATTACAAACATAATCAGAGGAAAGTCAAGTGGATACGCTTTAACCCTTTCTCCTCTAGATGATCCATCTGTGGCCTATTTCAACCCTGTTGATGGGAGCAAGCTTTGGGTATATTTCTGTGGCAAAAACCCCTCAAGTGTTAAATGTTACACTTTCTGTAACTATTAGATCAATTTAAGAGCTGGCCTTATGCTGTCGTCATTGACAACTGGTAACAATATGTCACCCTTTGTTCTTGCTGTATGCTATGTACATCAGACAATTGCCATATTCTCCCCCATTAAGTCCTTCAAAAAGTGATCTGAGGTGTTAAAATGTCTTAAGAAAACAAAGCAGTTGTACCAGCTAAGCTAAAGATAAATCTAGTCCATCGTCTGTCTGGCAGTGGCCAATAACAGAAGTCTGGGGAAAAAATCTAAGTATAAACAATTGTATTCGGGGGCTGTCCCTGAAAGGTTGCTTAACCCCTAGGTTAGGCTTTTCCTTGGTTATGAGGAGGTACCATGAGATTTTTCTTTCAGTGAACTTGTCCAGTCACTTTCTAAAGGACTACTCCTTTTCTGACCACCTGGTCTTTGTAAAAGATCCACTTAAATTAGACCAGACTGTGTTTGCTTTTGCTTAGGATGTAGATAGTGAGTTGCCTGATAACTGTTTGGTCTGAAATGTTTGTGTATATTTAGCATTTCTGTAGTGGGTTTGTGTTCTGGTAGAGATGCAGTTCTCCAATCAGAAGCTCCTTTTCTGAGAGGCAGGTGAGTAAGTTACTTTAGGGCTTGATAATACCTCTCCTTAACCATTACTTTGAAGGGAAACAGTACTTTAAAAAAATAAATTGTTTCTTTTATGGCTATTTTATGGATCACAGAAATGAAATCTGGCCAAGAGAGACCAAGTGTGGTTTTGTCTACAGCTTTTCAAGTTAATTTAAGCACAGCCCTTTCAAGACAGGGTGGACTCCAGCCCTGTTAACAAAAAGATTGAAGAAAGGAGTGAATGATACTGTCTTCATAACTGGGGTTAGTTTCCATATGTTCTGTGGTCAGATACATCAGGGGGCAGGAATGGTGAAACTCATTTTGGCTCTGTCTGTGCAGCAGCTATTCCAGCCTCGTGTCGCATTTCTCAGAGTCTCTGCTTCTTTAGGGCCAGGCTTGAGGCTTAAATTTACGAACTTTTGGACCTGCATAACATGAATGTTGTACCTGGCTGCTAACTGTGGAGGTCAGGCTCAAAGCAGCTCTCCTGTGACCACCAAATAGCCAAACTCAAATAATGGTTGGAGAGTTAGTGTGCTTTGTCATGTCATGTTTGGCTCAAAAGTTGTAAATTAAGAGGTTTGATCCATACTCGTGTGTGGAGTGTACATCAGCTTCCCCCAGCAGGGAGGCCTGGAGGTCAGCTTCTGCCTGTATCCAGCAGGACGCACACATGCAGGGGTGTTAAGCAGGTCTGGGCTCAAACATGCAGACCTACATGCATTGAAAACATAGATGATGTAAAAAAAAAACCACCCCACAAGTCTTCCTCTTCCTGTGTGAAGCGTATATAGCACTGCTGCAGGTCTTGTACGCAAGGCAGTTAAAAGTTGCTCCTTCCCATTTTCTGAGAAGTGAAGCAACAATTCCAACAGTGCCTAGCAGTCTTGTCAGTAGGGCAGTGTGCTGCTACCTGTTCAGGAGTGAGTGTAGGGTCCCTCTTGGGGGATGTTCTGTGGAGTATTGCAGTCCTTTATGCTGCCTCATTCGTTGGGCTGGACCTAAAAAAAACATTCAGGCCTTGGTAACCACCCCATAAAGACTAAAGGAAAGAGAGAACCAAATCTATTGGAGTGCTTATGTGATGTGTAGACTAGACTTTTTACAGCTGAGAAACATGGTGGTGTGACACATAGGCACACACTTATCTGTGGCATGGCTCTCCCAGCTGCCAACGTTGTGTATCAGCAAAGGGAAGGTTGTGGTTTCTTTGAAATGTATTTGGCAGTATAAGAGCCTATGCTGCTTTTCTAGGTAAGGCTAGAGAAACGCACATCCCTATTGTTCAAACATATTTCTATTTTCAGCACTCTGTCTTTATTGCTTGTACCAAAGCCCAAGAGATAAAGTCAGAGTGTAAAAAATGCTTGTTCCTTTTTTTTTTCCTTGTCTTGCTCTCTGTGTTATGATTGCAGAGCTCCTGATTATGTCCGCTCTCATTACAGATAAATGCAGATTTGTTCATTACCATTTACCATATCGATGGCAGGTATATAATGGGATCACCTGGAATGACCTTTCCATGACGGAGGAAATTGAAAAGGCCTATTGTGACCCAAAAAACAACAGGTATGATGATGACGGACTGCTTGCTTAGAGTACTGTGGTTGAGCCCCTGAGGAAAAACTCTTGTTTTCTTCCTAAAGATGTCTGGCTTCCATAACTTCTGATTACTGAGCTGCTCAGAATATGGGAGGATGTACAAAGGAGAATTTTTCTTTTAAAAAAAAAACCAAACCCAAAAGTAAAAGTGATTGCATGGAAATATCACCCCATTCTTGTCTTCTAAGAATAACACAGTATCTTGCATTTAAAACTATACAGCGTAAAAAGAAATGGGTGGAATTTAGTGCTTAGAATATTAGTATTTCAGATAATGAATCATAACTTATAAATAATAATTAAGTTGGGCCCTTTAACAACAATTCAGAGCTGGTCTTCTCTAGGCTATTCCTCTCCTAATACAGCTAGCATCTATAATAATACTATAATATAATAATATCTATAATATGCCTAGGTAAATTTTATGAAATGCCCTTTGTGTAAGCAGCCCATTATTTATTTTTTTTTCTTAAGTGAGTGCATTTTCCCTTTAACTCCTTTCTGAAGGCCCCACTGTAAGTCACTGGATTTGTAGGGGACCCCAAGTATGGCCTCAATAAAATGGTATAGCTGTTTTGGCCCATGCCTCTTCAGTCTGCAGGTGATTTTGATTTGCAGCTTGACTAGGCTGCCGGATGGTGCAAATCACAAGCAAGATTCCCAAGAGGAGGCTACTTTCAGAGTCTTTCTGCCTGAGAGTTAATTTTCTCAAGCCTCCCAGGAGTAAAAGCCCAGGTGGCTCCAGTGATGAATGCTATTTACAGAAGTCACAGCTGTGATTGCATCCTCTGTAACCACAGAAAAAGAACAAAGTTTATAAGCTGCAGGTGCTTGCTGGCAAATTCAGTCAGGTACTTACCAACTTCTATTTTTTTACTGAGAAAAACTGTAACCATGCTTATTTATTGCAGAAATACCTTTTGCCACATTGTACATGTAGCCCCAGACTGTCTGTAAAGCTGGCAGTGCAATATCTGGCTAGTGACTGAGATGGCATTCAGTGTCTCACAGGCCATAGTTCACTTCTGAAGACTGGAAACAGTTTTCAGAGCTGCCATGCATGCTGTGGGAAATACTCTTATTTTGGGCCTAAGTAAGTTCAGGCAGTCACATTATATTAAAGAAAATGGCACAATCTTAAACTGGGGATTAGAGGATAAAATATATACTGTTAAATATAATAAACCTGAATTTGTCCTTACAGCATAGCAGATAAGAACATTAATTTCCAGACGATGACATGCGGTTCTTCTTTGCTTCGACGCCTCTCTACACTGTCATCAGTCACAAAACCCACATTGTTATTGACTACACAGTGGATTTGGTATTGGAAGAATGACCAAGGCCAGTGGATTGAATATGGGCAACAGGTGAGTCCACATCCTGTGCTTTGAATCACTTCTGAAGAAATGCTTGGAGCCTCTTTCCCCCCCCTCCCCCCCCTCCCCTTTACTCAGCAAGGTTAATTAAGTAAGTGCTTGTGCCTGAGTTTTACAGTGTCAAGTAAGGCAGTGAAGCTACAGATGTTCATAACAGATGTGATAAAATGTTGACAGGCTGGAGGGGAGGGAATGCTTTATCTCCTTGCAGTGAGGTTCAGTACGAGTGATTGTCTGTCTTTGTGTCTGGGTGATTTGTTATAACTACTTTCCTGACAAAGATCTTGTTGGCAAATGCAGGAAAGCAAAATACCTTTTTTTCAGCTTGTGTTGATCAGGCTGTTTTTGATGATGCATGCTGGCTTCTCTAGTCAGATTCCCTTCTGGAGTTGTCCATGGCTTCTACACAGATTTAACATGTATACACTGTCCTTGAGATATACTGCCTTTTAAATTATTCAGGAAGTAGCCTTGCCTCTCTTCTAAGCATTGTCCTGCTTCCTTGAACATGCAAGGGTTGCTCTGCTCTCAGATCAAATGTTACCTTTCTCCCTGGGTGGCCAAATCCTCTTTGAGAGAGTGATCTATCAGAAAAATACAGCAAAAGAAATAAATAAGGAATCTCTCCTTCCCCCAAGGCAGATGAGTCTTCCCCATGTGGTTTACAGTGTAGCAGCACAACTGGCAGAACACAAAGGTGATCCAGGGATGTGGAAAAGTACGCAGGGAAAGATGATGGATATAGTGGCTCTAGCAATGGTGGGCTTTGATTTCAGTGGGCAGCTTAAATGGAAAGCATCTCCATCAACATACCCTCATATTTTACATTATTTTGTACATTAGAGAATTATACTTGCATCGTAGTTTAACCCTGGTGTCTCAGAGCAAATTTAGAATCTGATGACTACGACAGTTTGTCGCAGGGGAGGCTTTAGACCGTTTAAAGAACCACCATGAAAGGTAGCAGCAAAAGTAGTTTTATTGAAGTAGAATGTTGTAAAAGTGAGACTTAACAAAGTCCGATGGCAAGGTTCGCTCTATTACTTATTGCACAGAGGATATAATAATAATAATTCAAAGTTACCAATACAAAATCTCGGTACACTATAATACAAGGTTATGCGTGATATCGATCACTTACCAAAGATCTGCGGTCAGTAAGGGGTGTCTCAGCCTCAAGGAGTAATGTTGAGAGGTGTCCCAGCTCAGGGGAGGTCACCGCTGTGCAGCCCACTCCTTAGCAGGGATTGCTAAAAAAAAAAAGCTCACTCAGGCTGTCAGATTTATGGAATGAAGTGGTTGGCTCATAATCAAATTGCACGCGATGAAAAAGGTAAGCGTGAGACTCCTTGTACCCACAACTTTCTTTGTTCCTTGACAAATTAATCTTGGAAGAACCACTGGCTATTCATGTGTTAATCATATGATCGGTGTTCTGGTTTCCAAGCTTATGCATCAATGCTCACCATGTCACCCTGTTCTTGTGGGGGTTTTCAGAGAACAGGTTGGAACTAGAGAAGTTCATGGCCTGCTCGTGGCCTAGGCCTTTATTTCCCTGGGAGCCTGAATCAAACTAACACTAGTTTGGTCAAGGAGTTGAGTGCATCCGTCACACCTGGCTGGCGACTAAGCCCCATGCAGCCACTCGCTCACTCCTCCACAGTGGGATGGGGGAGAGAATCAGAAGAGTAAAAGTAAGAAAACTCATGGGCTGAGATAAAGACAGCTTAATAGGTAAAGCAAAAGCCGTGCATGTAAGCAAAGCAAAACAAGGAATCCGTTCCCCATTTCCCATGGGCAGGCAGGTGTTCAGCCATCTCCAGGACAGCAGGGCTCATCATACGTAATGGTGACTTGGAAAGACAAACGCCGTCACTCTGAACATCCCCCCTTCCTTCTTCTTCCCCCAGGCTCACATTCTGAGCACGACGTCCTATGGTGTGGAATATCCCTTGGGTCAGTCGGGGTCAGCTGTCCCAGCTGTGTCCCCTCCCAACTTCTTGTGCTCCCCCAGTTTCGTTGCTGGTGGGGTGAGAAGCAGAAAAGCCCTTGACTCTGTGTAAGCCCTGCTCAGCAGGAACGAAAACATCCCTGTGTTATCAACACTGTTTTCAGCACAAATCCAAAACATAACCCCATACTAGCTACTGTGAAGAAATTTAACTCTATACCAGCCAAAACCAGTACAACTTGTTACAGAAACAAATGGGATACATGTGTCCATCATTACTAATTATGTATTTGTGTGTATGTTATGTGTGTCTGGTAATCGCATTTTAGGCTATGATAGTGCTGGGTAGATTTCCTCTTCATCCTACTCTTTGCCTCTTCTTTCCCTCTACCCACGCTAGTTATCCAGGGTTTAGTCCTGTTGTGTTTACTCATTACTCTTCTTTCTCTTTTTTCCTCTTACTTCCCCAAAGGGAGAAGGGAGTAGTGTGAACTCGCCATCTTCTGCTGTTATTGAGAATTTGTATCTAGCAGATCCAGATACCACCATATCTTTCCAGGCTGGCTCACATCATTACCAGCTCAATTTTAAAGGTACTCATTTTGAAGGTTCTCATTTACAACTATGCAGTGCTTTACAAAGACTAACCTGCCAGCTCTCCCAGCTTTTAGAAGCTATGACTTCTTTTACTAATACTACCAGATTTACTGATTGGAAGGGGAAGTGAGGTAGTGATGGCCCAGAGGAAATTCCTTACAAAAGTAACCTTCCCCCTTATTCCTTGACACTATCCAGACTCACATTGGACCAGAAGTAAAAAGACTTGTAGTCTTCACATAACGTCATAGTAAACCTTAAGTAAAGTGAGTTAACCCTATGGATACTAAAAATGAAAAATCAGGCATCTTCCTGTGCTGCTGGAGCAACATTTAAAGAGCATGAATGACTTAAGGGAGCAAGCAAGATAGGCACAGGATAAATACCAGAGTTACAGGAAGGACAAGAAGCTTACATAGGCTTTGCACAACTATTCTTCAGCAGATAGAATTGACAATGAATATGTATTTCTCATTAATGAATGACTCATTAATTAATGACCCCATCTTGTAGACTTATTCATGACTTTTTCTTTTGCCCTCTCTTTTCTCCTCAAGAAATGACCCAGACAAACATCTCTTTTAAAACTCGAAGAAAGGTCTGCAGGCGACCGAAGTTCGTGTCTTCTGAAGATGTGCAGAAGATAAGGAAAGGGTAAATGATTCTCTCTAAGTTGTTGTGTTTTCGTATTTCAGAAGTAATCACAAGGCAAAATGGCTGCCAGCGCTGGCAGTAATTGTGCAAAGAATGCAGCTGTTGCTAGAAGAAAACATATCCATTTGACTGAACAGAAGCTATATCACAAGCTGCCAGCTTGGTGAATCACCTGGTTTCTGGGGTACATGTTACTCCAGGTACCACATCCACAGGACTGGTGATGGACAGTTGTTTCTTAAAAAAGCAAGTGAAAGAGGACCGTGGCAATTGAATGGCAGCATGCAAGGCCCAGTTCACAGGCTGAGGCTGTTTCCCAGTTTTTGTGGTTTATTTTGTTTATTTTTAAATGTAGGAATTAGCCAAAGGCGATGCTGCCAATTTGAATGTTCAGAGCAGTACTAGAATTGCTAAAAGTTTGGTTTCTGTCTGTTTGCAAACAGCCAGAGGGATTCTTCTATTCCAAAGCAAGTCTGTCCTGTCCACTGGGATCAATCTGCACTGCCTGACTTGGGATACAAGGTATCTTCCTCTCTCCCCTCCCCCCCGCCCCGCCTTGTAATTCTGATGCAAAAACATGATTCGAAGGAGGAGGATGCTTAACTGAAGCAATTGTAACTGGGTAGATGCTAAAAAGGGACAGGAGTGTTCTCTTGAGTGTCTGTGCTAAAGATCTAGGTGGTCTCCCAAGAGCTCCTGAAAAAGTTGCTAAATTCCCATGAACTTCATCTGTATTTTAGGCATCTATTTACATACAAACCCAAAACTCAACAAATTCAAGACAATTTTCTTTAGTTTTTGTTTGGTTTTTTTTTTCTGTTAAAAATGAAAAAAGGCTTATTTTGGTGACTTAGTGGACCAGTTAAGCAAGGGGCTTCTATGAAGCGTGTATTTCTTCTGGGCTGAGACCAAACCCTTTCTGTGTAGGCTGTTAAAAAGCCATCCAATAATAACACCATCATGGCTGTTGGTGGATAAAGTTTGGACTGGAGATCTAGGAAAGGGAATCTCTATATGCTCTTTCAAGTCACCCAGTACTGTCACATACATCACAGATCTGAGCACAGACCATGGCCTCAAGGAATGGCAGTAATAAAGAGTTACAGCTAATAATATAAAAAAATATTTGCAGTGATCTCTTCAACAAAACAAACCCTTGTCAGCCCAAAGTCTATGTTTCTGTTTGGCCTACTAAGACCAAAAATGTGCAGGTGGTTTTTAAATTACTAGGTCTAATGGTATTAACCAGCAGTCCTTCTGGAAGAGCAAACCAGACTGTGGAAGTACTACAGTATGCTATAAAAAAGGCTTTTGAGTGTTACACTTGTCTTTTTTTATAGTGGCTTTGACCCTGATTAAGGAACAGTACATAACGTGGGCATAAGAGGTTTTCCTTGTTGACTGTGTCACAGAATCTTGTATGATGCTGACCAACTTGTATTGGCACAGATATCTTGATGGCTAGGGGCAGGACAGAAGTAATATCATATTTCCAAACTGGGAATTCTTTCTGGCTAGTTTCACTTGACAGAGAGCTCCATTGCTATTCTCACTCCTTGTATTTTATTTTTCCTGGTGTAATTACATTGGCAGTGGCATGAGAACCAGAAGTATCATGTCTCTTAGCTTCTGTAGGCTGTTTCTGTTATTCTGCCTTGTGCTGCATGTTCCATTTTACCCTGACTACCCTCTTGTGTTGGATTATGCCTTACTCGGTGTAATGCCAGTATCTGGCCATGCATGTATATAGCAAATTCATCTACAGTTCTGAAGAAAAATCAATGGATAAAATTTAAGTCAACTGCTCTGTACATTAGCTCACTTCAAATAGCTGGTTTTCACAATTAGCAAAAACCCCTAGTTTTTCAAGTCTGTAAAAGTGTCAGGTGTCCAGCACCTGCTGAATGAACTAATAATGAGTTTGTGTGGGAATCTGGCAGCCAGACCTTTTGAAGATTTGGGCCTGTGATATTTTGAGTTCTGTCAAAATAATAAAGGATATAGCTAATCAGCTCTTCCCTTGGCTTATCAGCAGCTTAACTGATTAACATAAGATTAAATTTTTCAAAAGAATGCCAGGAAGACAGATAGCTCATTTCTCTTCAGGCTTCGGAGTTGCATGTATCTTAACTGCTTCCCTTATTTACTCTGAAGACTTCAGTCTGAATTTTAGTTGAGTCTGTTTTTTCGGGTGTTTCTGGAGTCACTGAGGTGATTGTGAGAGGCTTTGGAATGCGATGTGCAGATCCATGGTATCGCTGGTGGTACTTGTGGGGATGTGTGACATAGAAAGATCATCTTGTTCCCCAGAGCTCAGTTTGCTTGCTGAGTTGGCACCTAAGAAAACCATCTTTTAATTTGTAAACTGAGTGGCTTTCATAGGAAAGGAGAAGTTAATTCTGCACCTAAACAGTGACAAAGCCCATAGTACCTGTTGGTGCTAAAAGTGAAAGCCTGGTCTAGATTAAATACTTCTGTGGGGTCCTAAGCCCGTTTTTTTGCAGTAGGTAATATTGGGACTGGCTGGCATTCTGTATGCATGTAGTGACCATTGTAAGATCTGACAATTACGACTTGATGAGTTCCCTTCTCTTTAGACATTGACAAATAATCATGGCAAAATTTGCTGTGCTGGAAGTGATCCATTTTAAAAAGGAACACCTATACGAGATAGGGAGAAAGTAATCTTTGCTTAAAAAGAGCAGCTCTGGTTTGGTAACATTGCTTATTTTTTGAGCGTTGCAGTGTCTTAATCTGTAAGTCATTTAGAATCATAGTTCTATAGAAAGTAGAGTGTATGAAATGCACAATGGAAATTGGTAACACCAATTGGGAAGTTGGTGTGAATGTCTTCTGTCTTTGTTTAACCGAAAAAGTGGAATTAGTAGTTGGTAAGCTTTTCAAAGGCAAAAAAAAAAGAATCGATACTGTATTGGAACTTCATGCTGGGTTTTAAATTGTATCTTTAATATACGACAGAGAAATGTGTGCAACGAATGTGTGGTTTTATGTCAGAAGATTAGTCTTTGTGTGGCTGCTATGTTGCTGAATCCTGACACGCATGCCAAAGATTGCTGTTCTGTAACAGGAATGGGCACTGATGCAACGTGAAGTCTGTGTACTTCATTAGTTCTGGCTGGATCACTGTCACTAATACAAACTATGCTGCTTCCAAAGCCTAAGTTAACCAGAGATCACGGTTTGGTATCACAGAGCGCTGTTCTTGTACAGTCATGCGCTAACAGAAATTATTGTCAGGGCAGCAATTCTTCTCTGCCTCAGAAACTCCACTCCTTGCTAGTGGGTTAGCAAATGCTTATGCTCTCTAGAATTTTCCTTTTTAGGTCTGAAGATGAAGAGCTAAAGAAGTTACATTGTTACAAAGTATCAACCTGCAATAGCAATGTGGTGTTACCCTTTATTAGTAGGGGAAGCCTCCTTGGGGAAATAAGGACAATCCCACAAAGTTTTCATGCAAAAGAGAACTGGCTTTGTTGCTTGGGAGGCCATCATATGATAAAATAATTGAAGTACTTTTCTTACAGGATTAGGCCTTGTACCATGTGGCTGACCCTCTGTTTTACCCAGAAAAGTTACGGTTCCTCAGTAAATAGATGCAGCATAGCAAAAGCATAGTTGTAGTCCAAATAAGAATTGTTTATGTATAAATAAAAGATGTAGTACTGAAATACAGTGACATAATTTTAATCTTGTAGGTGATGGTAAGCAACTTGAGTGGTGGTGTCACAGAGTATGCAGATAATAAATACTTGCCCATCCAAATTGTTTTATGTGTTGTAAAGAAGCTTTGGAAAATACTCTTGTATTAAGACATGGGAAACTTCATTCAGCCTTGTAAAAGCTTTTTAATAAATTCAAAGAAATAATTCTTCCTTGTGCAGCTGACTTTATACTTAATCCCTAGAAGACTTTCCTATGATAGGCCTCTTCGTCAGTAAGTACTTAATGCACAAGCTGGACATGGTATCCAGAAAAACACTTCTTTATTTATATGCAGCTGTGAAATATAAGTCCTATTTTATCTCCTCGCTAAACTCAGCCTTCTAAAATGTGGAGCTTTTGCCTGACAGGTTAAGATGTTGGCATCATATTACCTCCTAGGATGACCGCAGCTTTCCTGCTTAAAACACATCTTTGATATGTGGAATGTTGAGTATTTCAGTTTAAGTCATTTTGAGTCCCCACTAGGCTTAGGCAGCAGTAAAGTGGAAAGTATTACCAAGTGACCTCAGTCTGCCAGCATTATGCATTTTCAGTCAAGTTTATGGGAGATAAGTGTCTATTCTAGAAGATTAAAGACAGATATTACTTTGGAGAAAAAAATGGAAAATTTATGCATGACATAAGCAAGTAGAAGAGCTCGAATCATGTTTTAATTATGTTTTGCCTTACCTTTTCTTTGGGGAAAAATGTGCATTTCTTGATGGATTTTTAAACACAATAAGCATGGATAAATAGACGTTGTTTCCTTTAGGAAAGGAGGAGATGTATTTGCTTAAGCAGGTATTTAGTGTAACATTCCTATTAGAATCTTAATTGCTCTCTTATGTGTAGAAAAGTAGCTTTTTTTTTTTTCCTTAAGTCTGTATTTAAGTGCAACTTTCCAAGTTTTAATTTGGAAAGTTAAGGAGCTACAATGCTGGGTGGTTGTATGTATTTTGTTTGTTTCATCTTTAATAGCTGAGGCTCCCTTAAATGTCTGGTTACAAATGATACTGTTATCGTAACATCTTTTGTTCTTGATCAGCTTTATATATAACACTGATATTATCTGCAGTAATCAGTCAAGTTTTCTTTTTGAAATTGCCATTTCATTGAGATTTAAAGTTACAAGTGTCAACTCTTACTTGGAGATGTAAAACATTTAATTGATCCTTTTGCTTTGAGCATCCTTCCTGAAGAGAGGTGAGGTGTCCTTGCAAAGCAGGAGTGACATACTAATTTACATATTAAGTGTCTGTCCTAATTATTCACAGTCACAATCCAAAGCATTAAATTAACCTTCATAAGTATAGTTTGGGGACCCTTCTGAAAGTGTATCTGCTGTAATTAGGCTTCTGCATGTTACAAGCTAACTGTGAAGGCTCATGTCTTCTTTTCCTTTTGTTTCTATTTTATAGGCAGTGGAGGTCAGTAATACAACCGCTGAATACAACAGAATAAAGCAACTGTTTCATCAGACTATGAAAAACTACAAGGTCCTTAAAATACAGAGGATTCAGAATCCATCCCTCTGGAAAGTGTTTCAGTGGTTAGTGTTTGTTTCCACATCCTTATGGGGAAGGAGTCTCCAAGAGCTGGTGTCCTGTAGCTACTTCCTAGGAAAGAAAAGACTTTACCACCTCTGCTTTAACACGACTGGTATTTCCTTCTTAGGAGCAGTTTCAGGAGTGAAATTAAGTGTTTAAGGCCTTGCAGAGAATGCGATGCTCCTGGGGGGAGGTTCCCTTTGCATGGCTCCTTGGAAGATGGGGGGAGGACATGAATGATGCAAAATTGGGATGAGGATACCCACAGTAATGTGGAATAGTGTATTGATTGTCTTGGGGATTGAACAGTTAACTGCCTGCTGTGCATGTGTTCTGTCTGTTAACAAAAGTTTATCATCAGAACATATGAAATACTTGCTAAAAAAGAAGTGGGCAAGGGTAAAGGGTGCTTGGGTCTCTCTCTCTCTTTTTTTTTTTTTTTTTTTTTTTTTTTTTTTTTTTTTTTTTCCCTCCTCAGTCGGATTTATTTAAGGCTTTCTCAAGAGTCTGAGTACCCTTGCTGAATTAAGTCAGTACTCACTGAGAAAGAGTCCTTGTGCTTTAACTGAATGGTCCCTGAGTTCCAGAGCTCCTTTCTGGTTTTCAACATCCGCATCAGTGATACTGAACTCCAGGTACTTATGCCAAGCTAGACACCAACAGTTTTGAGCTGGTGCTAGTGGCAGTAAATGACCATGTTCAAGTTAATTTGGTAGCAGATGAAGGTGTTGCATAGAACAGTTGTCTAGTTTAAAACAAAAGCAGATACCTAATAGAAGTATTCTAGGAATGTATGGAATGGTAATGGAGAAAAATACTACTCAAATAAGTACTTTCACCTGTGAAGTGACTGAACCCAGGAAGTTATTGCTAATAATTTCATAAAACCTCTTCATCTAGCAAAACTTAAGACACTTAAAAACATGTGGTAGAGCATACTCTTTATTGTCCTCCAAAGAGATAATTAAGCTTAATTATCTGGTTAGCTAACCAGGCAGAGTTTAACACTGTCAGGTTCGCAATCAACAAGTTTCAGTCCATTGCTCTTAACTTTTCATTTATGCAGTTTACAAGTTGGAAGGATTCTCCCCTCTCCCTGGCTCTGTTTACTTGGTAGCCGATAATTTCCTGAAGAATATCACTGTCCTGTCCACTTTGACAGCTTCTGAAAACCTGCGGGATGTCTGGATGCTGTGAAATAGTGATGGGAGATACTAGTTGAGCCTTCCGTTACGATTCCTCTTTTGACACCGGTCACAGCTCAGTCTGACTCTGGCCTAAATCAGTAAGGTCTTCAGTGGTGAAGGAAGGTTCAGTTTCTCTCCTGGCTCTGTCTCCTCGGCTGCACCGATCTCACTGAGGGGCAGGAGCTAGGGAGTGTGGCAGTCTGGGTTCACCAAGGGAATGAAGAACAAGCTGCCTCTAGTGCTTGCCCACTGCTGGAGCGTGGAGGCTCTGCGGTTAGTACAACCTCCGCTCCCCAGAGAGTTTGGGGCTGGGAAGGGACAAGAGACATTAAAGCAGAACTAGTAGGACCCTACAGAAGAGCAAAAGGTTGGTACAGTGGGGGCTGTAATAGTGTCAATGCTTACTTAGATTCACTGAAGAAAGCCAGAATAACCTAGAATTGCTGGGCAGTGGTATCAATATATTGCTCATCTTGTAATTGTCCATCATACTGCTAGTCTGTCTCATCTTCCAAGCTGAGAGAGGAGAAAGCAGACTGGAAATCTCATCCAGCTGATATTTACATGTACATTATATACTTTTTTTTTTTAAAACCCTTTCTCCCTTTTCTTCCACGGCTCACACTCTCCTCCCCTGCGTTTTTCTTTTAGGCAAAAGGAGCAGATGAAAAGGGAAAACGGAGGGAAGGAAGTAAGTGAAAGGCTCCTGTTCCACGGAACCAAGATCTCCTTTGTGGAAGCCATCTGTGTTCACAACTTTGACTGGAGAATTTGTGGAAGCAATGGAACTAGCTATGGAAAGGGTATGTAGGAAGTGACTCTGTGTGTTAGACGTCTACTTAGACTCCCCTGATACTAGAACAATCAAAGTTTTGAAGTTTTTAACTAGGGGGGGGGGGGGAGGAAGGTAGGAATTGGTATTATGATCTTCCTTCCCTCTGGAGAGGACAAGGATTTCCTTTGTGCAGGGGTGAGTCTTTTTGCAAGGTGTTAAGAGAATTAATGTAGGGATTTAAAAAGCCTCTGTTGCTGTAGGTGGGATCTTCTGAAGGCACAAGGTCATAATTTGAACTTGCCAGAGAAATGGCTGCTAGTCTTCATGGCAGGGAGCAAGAAGGGTGTGCATTCCCTCAGTATGGTCATGCAGGGTCCTCATGTTTTCTTGTCTATACCTCTCATCATAACACACATGCCTGTAGTGGTTTTATGTTTGGGGTTTTTAAAAATTATTCCTAAAATAGCAAATTCTGAATGGAAATTATGAGGCAAAATCCGTTCTCTTGTAAAAATTCCTATGGTATTATGTAAACTGAGTAAGAGGAGACCTGGAAGTTGGGTCAAATATCCCCTGAAAAACAAGGGGATGGTCAGTTTTTGCTGTCACTTTATGCATATTCCTTGTAACCATGTTTTCGTATCATTTTCTAGGAAGTTACTTTGCTAGAGATGCTTCCTATTCCCATGCATACTGTCAGCCTGTGGTGAAGACAAAGATCATGTTCGTGGCTCGTGTATTGGTTGGAGATTATGTTAAAGGCAATGCAGCCTATGTTCGCCCCCCGACAAGGTCTGTTGATGGGCTTCGGTTTTATGACAGCTGTGTGGACAATGAATTAAATCCATCCATTTTTGTTGTGTTTGAAAAATACCAGATTTACCCAGAGTATACGATAGAGTATAAGGAGGAAGCAGAAAAATGTATTGTATCTTAGAGGGATCAGAGCTATTCGTATCCCTCATCTTATTTTCCGTATTGCAGGTGTTGTCATACTTGGCGACTTCTTTCTTTTTAATGCAATCCTTTGGAATGTTAATCCAAAGAATTTCTGTATTGAGGAGGATTGGTAAAACAGATGTTACATCTGTTTAGACTAATTGCCTTGTCTTCTCCTCTTCCTCTCTTAAATGAAGCATAGACATTTGGGTAACCATAGCAGAAAAATCAGAATCGTGGGATGGGAAATTGAAAGTTATGACTTCTGTGGGCAAATAATTGTAAATGCATTTTCTTACAAATAGAGAGAATTTCTCTTTGCAAACAGTTCAGTTAAGAGAAAAATTAGCCGTACAGTAGTTTTTAAGCAAACTCTCAAGTTTTTAGTAGTCAAAGATTCTTTTCAGTGCAGAATACAGCTGTTCTTAATCCTATCACAATTCTAAACAAGTCAGTGTATGTAAGAATGACTTGACTTAGTTTTCAAAGTTAACACTTTGCTTGTTAATGCTGATACTAGTTTCAAGTTTAAAATGGTAAAACAAAAAAATAAAAAGCTTATTTTAAATCCATGTCGTAAGTGCTCAAGTGGAGAAGTTTCATCTGTACAATGGCAGCTACTGTTTGGATCAGAAAATTGTTGGATCAGAAACTTTTTGCAGATCTACAGTAACTTGCTGTGTGACCTACGCAAAAATAGAGCTCAAGTGAAACTGTAAGTCACAACGTATGAATAAGCAGGTACTAATAGTTGGTAGTTTGGCTGCAACTAATGGCCGTAAGTATATAAAAACTGTGTCACAACGAGCCAGACTTTCAAGTGAACGTGGCCACGTATTTTCTCAATGTGAGCATTTGCTTAGCAAATGCTATAGGACAGGAGAAACATCTTAATCATTGATATTTTCTGTCCTATTTGTATACGTTAATTTTCATTTTTCCAGAAATATGACATGACTGGAAGAGACCAGTTATGGCTCTCTCGAGGCCAGTGGTAGAACTACTGTCCCAAGACACTTCGTATATGTGTTTTGTTGCCCGCATTGCATTGGGCAACTCTCTGAGAACTCACAAGTGCAGTTCCTCTTCGTGTTTTCACATCGCTGTGGGTGATCCTGGATACTGCTTCCCTGGGTCTGTTTTTTTGATACACTTGCTTTGTCTTTGTCAGAGTGATGTACAAACCTACTAACAGTGGTTAAGTTCTTTTTTATTAACTTACATGCTTTTTGTTGTCCCAAAAAGAAAATATAGAAACTCTGTGAGAGTTTCTACTGGATTTTGATACGGAGTTTGTAAGTTAATCAAACTGAAGACCCTCTGTACAAAGATGTCTCATTCAGGCAGCCTAGCTGTTAAGAGGGAAACTGTTGCTGAGGACAGAGGAGCAGTTAACTTTTGCTTTCAGAAAAGCTTTACAGTAACACAAATAGCCTCCCAGTTATTTGCGTCTTCGATACAAATCTGTCAAACACTTATACTACTCAAAGTTTGCAAGTTACCAAGAAGATGGGGAAATGTATAAAACTAGGAAATCTTATTAAAATTACTGTCGTAGAACTAAATGAAAACATGAGTCAGTAATGCATTAAAAGGGGAAGATTTTACCACTTTTTAAGATCTCTCTCACTTTTGCTTGCGTGTAGAGTTCCTGAATCATGGAGTTTTGCCATATTTGCAAATAAAATGTGTTTTCACTCACTTTTTGTTTCTTAGTGTGCAGTTTGTCTCCATACACAAACTTATAGCACAACTAAACAGACCTAGTGAACTAACCACTTAATACATGTGCTGAGTGTCTTCCTTTCACACAGTGCTGCACTTCCACCCCCATAAGCTACAAGACAGGTAAGTGATATAGAGAATGCCAGTGAGATGCTGACAACTTAAGATCAGTCCAAATCACAAAATCTAGAGGAAGAACAAGGGAAGAAATGGCAACTCCAGTGATGTGCTTCACACTGTCAAAACTGCACTTCCATAGGTCTGGCTAGGGGTACAACTCTCTCGTGTGCAGGATATTGGCTATTTAATTGGTGGCCAGGTTGGACTGTAGATGAGAGCTGCTCTGGGGAAGGAAGACAACAACTTCAGTCTGGGTAACTAAGCTGAAGAGGGAAGAAAGCTAGAAAAAACATACTGTGAATGCAGGAAGACGGAGCACAAAGGAAAAATGGTTCTCCCACCTACTGGCACCTCAGCCTTTTCCTAACTGATGCCAAGAAAAACACCTTGCAAGAGAAATGCTGAGCTTGCCAACAGGCTGACAGTAATCCTTCGCCTTTTGAGCATGGTAAAAAGCATAGTGTGTGAGAGGAAGGGAATAAATCCTTGTGTGGCAGCTGTGTAGCCACTGGGCTGAATTATGGTTCCAGTTGTTGCTGCAACAAGCCAGCTTCAAGGTAAGACCAAATCAAAGTGTGTTTTCATGATAACCAACAGAATTTTTGAAGTAATTTTTTTTTTCATTCCTAGTGACTGAGCAGAAACCATATTGGCTTTTTTCTGACAATCCTAGTACTGCATATGGAGACTGCCAATTGTGGGCCATGTTTTTGTCTGAAATAATATAGCCTATGTGTGATAATAGCACTTTGATTTGGCACTGCTGATGCTTTTCTTGGATTTCTGGGTCGGCTAAAAGCAGGCTATTGACTGCCCTGCTGTATCTGCCTCATTCACTAGCCTTATATTATAATCTGATTAATGGCTTTCAGGGAATTCAATAGATGCAGAACAAGCTTGTTCAGAAAAGGCTAAAAATGCATTTGCTAAGGGTACATTCTGTGTTTAATCCAGTAGCTTCACCTTCTTCTAGGCATGGCATTATAGGGGCTATTCATGAGCACAGATACTGCTGCTCTTGACTTCTGGATGCCTTCTTTTTGTTCCTGTCTTTAAACTGAGGGAATAACTACTTTTCATGTTTCAAGACGCAGAAAGAGTTTAGAGAACAGCACCACAGAAACAGAATACGTTATGAGCAGCACTACTGTAAATTTTTTATTAAAAAAAAAATCTTAGCAAGTTTGTTGCATTTTTATCTCCAAATATAATTTTTTTTCCAGTCTTCCCCTGTGAGCTGGTGTGCCAACCAGCTAGTTTCCTTACAATGAAGCATAGGCCAGATGCAATCCTAGCAGTCAGCTGGTCAGCAGCTCTTTTAGTTGTGTCTCCTCCCTCCACCCTGCCCAAAACCCTTCAAGTATTAAAAGGGAGAGTGGTTTGAGGTATCTGTGAAATGGAATGGTGTGAGCAGAGTTTCCTAGCCCCTGCAAGGCTCTGAGGCTTTGTTTTGCTTCCTAGCACATTCAAGCCTCTGCAAAAAAAGATGCCACGTTGGCAATGGGGCTGAAGAAGCGAAAGCTGTGAATGCGCAGCCCTCTGGCACAGCTGCTCTTTGGGTTGTTGCATCTCAAAGACAAGGCAGCTGCGAGTGGGAGTCTGCAAGAAAAATGCAATGCCATTTTTCAGGAAAAAAGACTTGAGGCCTCAGAACAAGCCCGTTCACTGCTGCCAAGTGTTGTCATGGCCTGTGAGACTACATGGTGGCTGTACGCAGGTAAGCACAATATCCTCTTGAAAGGTCTTGGTCAGTAGCTGTGCACACAAAGAAGGTAAAAAAGCTACCACTTGCAGAGGTTCCTGCAGCTGACTGAAGCCTTTATTTTGTATTTGAAAAGATCTGTACATACGCCTTTATCAGGAAAACATGGGTTGAAAACTTGTTGAAAAAAACATGCTTCGCCCTGGGTTAATAAATCTGGTTTTGATCTGCGAACAAAAAAAAATGACTTGAAACCACCATACCTGCTATGGTAGCTGGTCATGATACCACTGATGCTGTGGTGCGCTTTCTTCACCAACAAAACTAAGAAGCTGTAGTACTGGAGGGCTTTGGGGTTGAGTGGCAGGAGCCTAGGCAAGGCCTTAGATGATGGGTGACAGCTGTGCTTTCACAGTAGCCTCCTATACCTACCACTAATCACCATGGTTGGTTTTAGTACAGCTTAAGAGCACTAACAGTCTAAACCAGACAGGTCTTTAAAAGAATTGTTAATGGGTCCTAAAAGCTAGACCCACTGTAGCAAAGACTTCCTAAAGAACTTTTTAGTTCAGCTTGCTTGATGTTAACAGAATTGTTACAAATACTGCAGTACTAGGTCTGACAGTAGTGAAGTCCAACAGAACATCACCTGTTTTACTCTACTGAGCTACAAGAAACAGCTAACGCTGAAGAAGCTGTAGAAGTAACTGAGCTGATGATGTATGTGGTCTCAGCACAGATGACTTACTTAAGAAAGCAGCTCAGAAAAGACTTGTAAAGTGGTGGTATTGCCCTTGCAGCCACGCTGGGGATCATGCTAAAACACCACTGAAGTTAAAAGTAGATGTTTCCTGATGTAACGCTGGCAGGGAGTTACTGCCCAGGCTCAAATTCTGAGGCACAGCACAAAGGACTACTACCTACCTCTGCCCCTCTTAATCCAGAAAAAGAAGTGCCATGGAGGCTGAGAGGGATGGCCTGCTAACTTTAATGGGTGTGGCAAAGATAGAACAAAAGCAAGGATGGGGCTGTGTTTGTATTTGCACAACCTGTGCAAAACCAGTATCTCTCTTGTAAGCAGCAGATATTCGTACAAAGTTTGTATCAACTGCTTTTCAACTGCTCTGCTTAGATATAAAAAGGTGAGCTTTTAGGAGTCAGCATGATCCTTGGTCAAGTTGTCCTCCGCTTGTTCTTCTTCTATTGCTCTTCCCACTGAGCCACCTGCTTGTTAACTTGTTTCCATAATGGTAATTGAAAACAAGTCAGCATAGCATGGTGAAGCAAGACAGAATGGTTTGAGTATTCTGGATAAAAATAAGGGGAAGATACAGCAGAAAACTAGAAGTTCTCATTTATGGGCAAAATGTGTAGTACTAGTTGAATGAAAAAGTTTCTAGTCACATTCATAGAAACAAAGAGAACGTATACTGTTACGGGTTTATGAAATTAAGCTATTATAAATAATCCATTTAAAAGCTTCATCCATACATGCAAAGAAGTCATACTTGCTCTCAACTGAGTACCGCTTTGAATTTATTGATGTAAAGCAGGCAAAATTCTAAATCACGTTATATCAAAAGTACTACAAATGTCATTCTTAAATTTGTGTAGCAATGGATCACAAACTACATGCTTCATAAACAGCCAGCAGATTTCTCAGGCTTTTCTCAGGCCCTAATAAGACTTGTTTATATTCCTTGAGTAAAAAGGTATCCCTCTAAAGTCATTGCTTGAAATGCACTGATTAAAAATAATTAATAGTAAAAATCTAGTATAGCTTTAGCACAAAGTAAGACAATCAATCACGGTCATGGCTGGACAGATAAAGCAGTGATGAAGCTGAAGAACAGGGAACTCTGTCCGCAGGATTCAAAAGGCTGCAGGCAAGGATGCAATACCCTTATCTGGTTTCACAAATTATTGCTGATTTAAAAGTAAACTACTTTTTCCTCAAATGAGGGCTAGGGGAAGAAGGGTGGCAGCAAGGCATGTCCATGTCTTATTCCTCTATGCAGGAACTCCAGGGGCAGTGCAGGGCCATCTATGAAAGTGCTTTTTTAGGTCAAAAGGAAACTGTATGTGGGATGGGGCTGCTGTGGGACATGGGGAAGGGCCTGAGCTGGATGGGAAGGAGAGGCAGGCATGTGTGTGTCTAGGAGAGCTTGCAGATATGATACCATAGCCAGAGCTTGGGCAGTTGAAGAGTGTGGTATTTCTCTTTGAGAAGAAGAGGAGGCATTAGTTCAGTTTTGGTTTGAAATATCATCTTTCCTTTCACTAGGGATTTCTGGATTACTGTTGCAAGATAATCCATTAGCTCAGCTATGGTGCAGGAATCCAGAGGCACCAGAACTTGACAGAAGTACATGGCTCATTGTGCCTCATTTGCAGCACCAAAGCTCGTCACATCACTTGTGCTGGCACAAAGCTTTGTGTCAGTTCCCTTTAGCTCTCTTTTTATGGTGGAAGCTCCCTTCCAGCCTTCACCTCTTCTGAGATACCTCTATAAAGTGTGTGCTTTAACATTGGTTTCACTCTACTTTGCTAACATGCAGGGACTTGTGCTATTGAGATGGTAGTAAGGCCTGACTTCCCAAAAGCTCAGGTAACCACAAAGACACCAGTCCAAACTACCATTCAGAGATGGTACTGTTTTAGTTGAAATCCAGGCTGCTGCTTTTTTTCTGAAAGATTTATAGGTGCCAAGCAAGTACCTGTATTAGAATAGTTGCTGTCAGCTATTATCCCTCTCGTCTGGTTTCATTCCCATAGTAATTTCAGAAAGCTCTGAGTCACTATACTGAAAAGAAAAAGTTTAACAATTTATGAGAGGGAGTTTGAAAACAAGTACCTGGAAAGAGATCCTGAATGCAGACAGATCTGTAATGCCAGAGTCTGTGACCCATGCCTGAATGGACTGGAAGCTTGATATGGAATTCAATTTATGCCTGTATTGGCTCTGGCCCCATACTTTCCTGTTAGCTATGCTTAAAAGGCCCATTTGAATTACCAGAGCAGCTTACTGATTATTTAACATATTAACAAAGTAACA